ACTACACCAAAAGCAATTGCCTTGGTGAAGGCGCAACCTTATTTCCTTTATAGCGTAGCAGCCAGTGCCACGTTTCGATTTAGGAAGATGCTGGAACCGTGACCAACACTGAGGAATATCTAAGAAAGATTATTCCGTTAGCTTTGGGATCAAACTTTGCAAGTTGGTCTTTATTGTTAAGAATATAACAAGTACAACCAAATATGTGAAGAAAGCTAAGAAAAGGATTTCTACTATGGAAGAGTTTATAAGTTGTCTTCTTGAATCTCTTGACGATCAATGACCGATTCTAAGTAAAACAAGCAGTGCTGATAGCTTCAGCCCAAAATTGAGTACGGAGACGAGATTCCCTAAGCATTGATTGAGCAGCCTCAATTATTGTTCGATTTCTTCTTTCAACGACCCTGTTCTGTTGTGAAGTTCTAACACCTGAGAAATTGTGTGAGATTCCCTTGTTCACAAAGAAGTAATCAATGGTACTATTTTAAAATTCAGTTCCATGATCAATCCTGATAGACCGTACTTTGATGTTGTTCAATACTTCTATGTGCTTGACGAATGAAATGATTTCTTCAGGTGCATCACTATTAAATCTAAGAAGAAAGACCGAAGTGTACTTGGAAAACTCATCAACAATGACCAGTTTATATTTCTTTCCAGCTATAGATTGGACGTTGACTGGACCAAATAAATCCATGTGCAATAGCTGAAGAGGAAAAGTCACTAAAGAGACATGCTTAGATTTGAAGCTAGCCTTTGTCTGCTTTCCCTTTTCACACGCTGAGCAAAGAGATTCTTTTGTTCAAGAGTGTTGAGGAAGGCCAATGACAAGATCCTTTCGAGACAGCTCATTCAGTGTCTTGAAGTTGAGATAAGAGAGCCGTTTGTACCATAGCTAGTTGATATCTTAAGAGGGCTTTAGAGAGTGTGTGTCCCTTATCTTCAATTAATCTTCAAGAACAATGTAAAATGGCAATATTCATGTAAGAACATTAGAGAGAAAAAGTCAACTTGGTCAATGTAAGTGTATTTCTTTCAAACTCTGTATTACACGTAATGTAAACAATTTAGCTCCTAACTCTAAAATTCCTTTGCAAAACCTATTTATAGGTCAAACTAGAAATAGAAAAGTCAAAGTCAAACCATGACTTACAAAGTCAAACCTTCTAGAAATACAAATAAAGTCTTTCAAGATGAATACAATTAACACTAAAATTCAATCCTAACATTCTTCCCCATTGGATTCAGGCTTGAAAGAATTTGTACTCTTTGAATCCCTTTTGAAACTTTGATGCTTTAAGCACTTTATGACTTCTTAAAATCTTCAAGATAAACTTCTAACATTCTTCTCTTTATATTCTTTAAAGAACCTTCTCTTGAGAAAATCATCCACAACATTCTGCCCCTTGAATGTAGAATAAAAACAATCTTCTCTATTCACAATGAAGAACCGAAACAGCAAAAGTCTTTAGAAATAGTCTTCAAAATATGATCTTCAAAGAACTTTTTCAGAATAATATCTTCCTCACTTGAAATCTCTTTCAGTAAAATTCTTGTTAATAATGAAATCTTCACATTCAAATCCCCTCAAACATTATAGCACAGAACAATCAGCAGTCATCTTCATTCACACTCTTTGAGTCATTTGCAAAATTTTCGATCTTCAGAATTGGTTATTTCATTCATTATGTGATACTCTCCCTTATGATGAAATGAGAAGCATTTGCATCAAACAATAGAATGAATGAATTGTCAATATGTACCGTCAATTCATAAAATTGTAAGTAGATCTTTTCAAATCCGCTTGTATAATCTTTTCAGATTATGAAGATTGAAAAATAACCAATTTCAACAAATAAAATTGTAAACAATCTTATAAAAGATTGGCATGCGAATATAACAAATATATTCAATACAACGAATGTACTTCACATATGAGACTTTTTAAGGTTCATCTCACCAAAAAATAACAAATATATTGCAAAATTTGTTTAGTGAAAAAGAATAAAGCAATA